CGCGGGGAGCCGCCCCGACTTGCAGGTACTGGGGGGTGCCCGGGGGGGTCCCTGCAGCCCCTCTGCAGCGTCTGGGTCCTTGCAGTGATAGGTGCCCATCAGGCCTGGGCAGGAGCTGCCCGTGGAGCACCGTGCTCTAGTGCCAGCCCGAGGAGGGTGAGCACACAGCACCCGGGGCTGCAGGGGAGCGTCTCAGGAAGCCCTGCTGTGGTACCACAGTCCTGCAAAGCTGGAACCTGACTGGCCTCATGTGGGCTGTCCCAGCCTGCTGTGCCTCCGGACACAGGGACTCGGCTGCTCAGGGCGTGCCAGGGTCCTAGTGCTGCCGGGGAGGAGGGGTCCCCGCCAGGCTGAGCCAGAGCCACGCTAACATCTCTCTCCATCTCTCTCTCCTGTCTCCAGGCCTTCACTTTGACTCCTTGTCCAACCCCGTTAGTGCCCCTCTGCCTGCGCTGTCGCCCGGGCTGCCCCCCTTCCTGCCTGCTGGGCCCCCTCTTCCTACAGCCACCCTGCTCCTGGGCTGCTGTGGGACCCCCATCTGCTCCCTGGCCGAGGTGCAGCAGGAGCTGCAGGTGCTCCAGAGGCAGCTGGGAGAAAGTGAGCCTGTGCCTCTGGCTTGGGGTTGGCCCTGCCTGCCCCACGTGCCACGCTGTGCCGCGCTGTGCTGCATGGCCCCCTGCCCAATCTGTCCTGCCTGTCCTGCCCTGACCCTTCTCCTGCTACCAGGGGCTGCTGCTTTAAGGTTGGGTCCCATCACTCTGGCTGGGGGATGGTGGGAACACATGGCTGTCAAGAAGAGGGGACCTGGTGGGTGGGATGGACACAGCCTGAGGCAGCTCTAGCCCTTGGTGCGGGTGCTTGCTCATCCCAGGGCCCCTGGGAAAGGGCTGGTTTGGTTAGTTGATGGGTAGGACTGAGGCTGAGATCCTCCAACTTGTGTCACGTAACCAGGAAGCCTTGGGAGAGCCTCTGCTCTTCAGGAGGAATGGGTGTGACCAAGACAGGAGGTCGATGCTGGGGGATCACCATGGGGGGACATGGGGCTGCACTGTTGGGCAGAGCAAGAAGGGGGCAAGAAGCACATGGAGGGACTGGGTTACCCCCATTCTCCCTCCCTGCTCCTTACTCTCCTTCTCTTCGCTGCTTTGCCCTGTGCGTGCAGCCGTGACGCTGCCCGTGGCACCAGCAAAGCCCGCAGCCCCGCTGGGCCCCTTGGGAGAGGGCAGCAAAGCCCCAGCATCGCTCTGCCAACACGACGTGCTGCAGAGCCTGCCTGAGATCCCCGGGGCCACCGAGACCCGTGCCCACTGGGACGTACCCTGCCCCGGCCGGCTGCTTCACGGGGCCCTGCCGTCGGGGTACGCCTCCAGCCAGAAGCTGACAGGTAAGGTCCATGCTGGAGAGCACGGGGGCATCCCGGCTGGGTGTGGGGGAACCGGCAGGAGCCCCGCACCGAAATGGCTGCGGAACGTGGCTCTGGAGTGGGGCAGAAGAGTGGGGATGGCACGGAGCAGGCGCCACAGCTCAGCCCTGCCCTGAGCCTTCTCCTCGGCTGTGCCAGGAGAGGACCTGCTGGAGGAGCACTTGGTGGAGATCCGCAGCCTGTGCCAGCGCCTTGAGGAGTCCATCTGCACCAACGACCGGTTCCGGGAGCAGCTCGAACGCTGCTTGGCCTTCACCGGCAAGGCCAGCGGTACGGTGCTGCAGGGGGGCCAGGGCCGCCGGGGACCCCTGCGCTCTGGGGGGGGGCCCAGCCTTCGCACACCCCATTGCAGGGGTGCACACCCACCCCGTGCACAGCAGGGTGTCAGGAGAGAGACTCAGCACCGTGCCCCTTTGCAGGATTGCCCAGCGATGTCTATGCCCAGGGGTCCGAGCCAGGGCTGCAGCTGAGCAGGGAGAACCAGGCTCTGCGTGAAGACAACCGGACCCTGCGGCTCCAGTGTGACCACCTCTCCCAAGGTAGGGCTAGGCCACCAGCATCCCCGGTCTGAATCACAGAATCATTAAGGTTGGACAAGACCTCTAAGATCATCAAGTCCAACTGTCACCCCAACACCACCGTGCCTGCTAAACCATTTCCCAAAGTGCCACATCTACACGTTTTTTTGAACACCTCCAGGGATGGTGACTCCACCATCCAGAGGGCACTGGCTGTGGGGTGAGGGTGACACCTCCGTGCTCTCCGTGCCTAGAGCTGGCGCGGATGCAGGACGCGCTCCTGGCTGTCCACTCCCAGGCGCGGGAGGCTGAAGCAGAGCTGGCCCAGAGGCGTGGGGACCAGCGGAGGCTGGCAGAGGAGCTCGCCGAGCGCCAAGAGAGCATCCGGCAGCTCCGGGATGAGCGGCGCGCTCTGCAGGAGGACAACAACAGGTAAGGTTCGGGGCACTGTGGCCTTGGGGACAGCAGGGCTGGGTGGCACGGCTGGCCCTGGACCCATGTGTCACCCCTCTGCAGGCTGCAGCACAAGGCGACGCTCCTGCAGCAGCAGTGTGAGGAGCAAAGCCTGCTGCTGCAGACCCTGCGTGCAGAGCTGCACCTCTGCAAGCCCCTGCCCAGCCCCTCCGCCGAGACCCGTGCAGGTATGGGACCTGCACCCAGCCCCCTCCACCAGCCCCAGCTCCCGGTCCTGGGGTGCCTGGCCCCTCTGCAGCCCTTGGGTGGTCCCAACACCTCTCCTGTCGAGGCAGCAGGAGGGACGCGGTGGCCCTGCAGGCGGGCAGCAAGGGTGGGCTGGCCCATCAGCTGCCCCAGGCACGGAGCTATGGCCATCCACAGGGGCTCAGACACTTCTTGTTCCAGGCTGCTTCCCATCTCCTCCTGTGCGGGATGTTGGCACCAGCTCGGCGCTGCCCCCTGACACGTCCGTGGCCCTGGGGATGGAGGGTGAGTGCCAGAGCCTGCCCACACGCGTGCCTTGGGGCTGCTGAGACCTGACAAACTCGTGGCACCACGCTTGCTGAGCAGGGACGGAGAGCCCAAGGGCAGAGCCGAGCCCCTGGGATGGGATGGGGAGGTCCGCAAGGGAAGCAGGCACTGGTCCTCACCCTGCCCTGCTCGACTCACAGAGCCACTCAGTGCAGACCCACCGGTGAGGAAGAGCGAGAGACTGACGGGGACTCACGCCATCGGCTCCCTGGACACCTACCGGGCCCTGGAGCAGCACATCCTGGAGGGGAAGGTGCTGGCCGGCGAGCTGATGTGTCAGCTTGGTCTGCCCGGCTGCCCGCTCCCGGGAAAGGAGGTAAAGCGTGGGCAGGGTGGGGTGGACGGACCCCAGGCGCCACTGCAGGTGCTGCCCTGCAGCGTTGGGCTGGGCACGGTGGGACACAGGTGCCCCGGCAGCACCTGCTCTCGCACCCGTCTCCCACAGGTGCTGGGGG